GACTGAAAATAATGTGTAAAGTTGTAGACGAAATATGGTGAAAAATGGTTGTGAAAATGAATTTTACATGTTTTGGAAAGATAATAGATTATGAAAGAGAGAATGTGGAATAGAAACAATAGAACAAGATAAGGATTAAAAATTGTTACAAAATTAAATTAGTGAAAAAACAAAAAAAACATAAAAAAAGGAGTTATCCGTTTCGTTCCTACCCTTAGACGGATAAATATGATTAGTAAGCCCTCCCCGGAACTCATCAGTAAGGAGGGAGGGCCTATGTTAGTAGAAAATACAAAAAAACTCACCTAATCCTTATCCTCGACAGCTTGGCAGCGAATTAGACGAATAAGGGGCGAAGATGACGAAATCGCTCGACCCTGCAGAATACACGTAAAATAAATGATACTCAGTCGTGTTGGCGCGTCATAATTTACGATTTTTACGCAATCAAATTCGCGTAGCAGTGTTCGATTGGAGCATATTATCGATCAAAGAGGAGAAAATTATTAGATCAAGAATATTAAGTGCCTGTTTGTGTCTTAAATGTTTGTTTACTAGTGTATCTGTATGTATATCCGATTTTGTATGTATATTAAGTATGTGTATACATATACAAGTGCGTGTAAGTTATACGTTGTATGTTTGTGCTATCTGTATAGCATTTTGTGGTGTGCTATTTGTTATATGTTTTAAGTTATGTATAGTGTGTTGTGTTGCATGACGTGGTTGTTGCATGTTGCTTGTTGTGTGGTGTTGTGTTGTGTGTTGCTGGTTGCTTGCTGCATATTGTATGTTGTGTGTTGTGTATTGTATGTTGCTTGTTGTGGTGTTGTGTTGTGTGTTGCTGGTTGCTTGTTACATGTTGCATCGTGTGTTGCATTGCACATTGCATGTTGCATGTAGCATGTGGCGTGTGGTGCGCTGCATAATGCGGGTTGGGTGTAGCTTATTGCATGTTATGTTGCATGTTATGTTGCATGTTGCATGTTGCATGTTGTGTTGCATGTAGCATGTGGAGTGTTGTGTGTAGCATATTGTGGTGTGGGTATTGTATGTTGCATGTTGTGTTGCATGTTGCATGTTGCATGTTGTATGTGCATGTTGCGTATGGTGTGTAGTGTGTTGCACATTGTGGGTTGTGTGTTGCATGTTGCATGTTGTGTGTTGCATGTTGCTTGTTGCATGTTACATGTGTAGTGTATAGCATATTGCGGTTTGGATGTTGCATGTTGCATGTTATGTTGCATGTTGCATGTTGCATGCTGCATGTTGCATCTTGTCTGTTACTTGTAGCGTGTGGTGTGTTGTGTTGCATATTGCAGGTTGAGTGTGGCGTATTGCGTGTAGTGTTGCGTGTTGCATGTTGCATGTTGCATTGCATGTGGTGTGCAGCATATTGTGGGTTGTGTTGCATGTTGCATGTTGCATGTTGTGCTGTGTGGAATGTGTGGTTGTGTGTGGTATGTTGTGTCATATGTTGTGTATGGAGTGTTGTGAATTGTGTGTAGTGTTAATTATGAGAATTGTATGGATTCTATAAGAACTTTTTTGATTTTATTCAAAATGTTATGTTCATGACCTATTAAATTATATTTGTAGAATATGAACCTATTTCTATTGATTAGTTTAACAGCACATGTAAGAATAGTTGAGTCACTGTAACCATTACACATTAGTAAACTTTTCATTTGTTTTAATCTATCGATGAAGTCTTCAAATTCTGAACATGTTCTTGCTATTCTTACATATTCTGTATAGATGGTTGCAAGTTTTATTTTATTAGATATACATGATGTGGCATTTATAAATCTTTTAACCTTGAAATTAAAATCATCTGTTTTATTATACATTTTAGTAGTGATTAGGTTGTCATGTATAGTTATTTGAAGATCTAAATAGTTACAATGTTTATCATCATAATTAGTAGATTCCAGTTGCAGTTGTTGTTCATAAATATTAGGTAAAATATCGTCTAGATTTATATTGGCATAATATATTATAAGTATATCGTCCATATATCTGAAAGGATGAATATTCAAATTATAATTTATGTGTTTTTTTGAATATATGTACTCGTACCAAGACAAAGTAAGGTCTGCTAGTAATGGACTACAACTTCCTCCCTGTGGGACTCCTAATTTTTGTTTAAATGTAATATTGCAGAACTTACAATAGCTATTATCTAACAAGTAGTCTATCAGATAAAGAACATCTGTAATGCGATAAAATCTAGTGCGAGGGTTATTACTCAGATCTGAATCTGTGTAATATAATCTATTGTAAGTATTATAAGCAATATATTTTTTATTCGCATTTTTATAACATAATACTAGTATTTCTTTCAGATTGTTTTTTATAACGTTATGAGGTAAATTAGTGAACATATTAGTAAAATCTGCGGAATATAGCTTAGTATTAGTACTGCATAAGTTAGCTAACTTGTTGCTGATGTTTATATTGTCTATAGCCCAGTAACCTATAAAGTTTCTATTACGAGATTTAATTGTTTGAACATAGTTTATAAAATGTTTTTTAACAAATGTAAGTATTTGTTTAAGTTCTAGTGCTAATGGTTTGATACTACTACAAGTGGCTCCTGTAATGAATCTGAACTTTATAGGATTCTTATGTAGTTTAGGGATACAATAAATATTTGGTATGTTACTAACTGATAAGAGTGTGAATTTATTTGTGTTACAAAAGTCTTGATGTCTTTTTATAATCATATCTGAAGTTTCTTTATCATATAATTCATAAGTATCTTTGATAGAAAAATTGATATTCTTGTTTGTATCATAGTTGATTCCCATTTCCTTTAATAATACAAGAAGGTAAAGTTTTAAACAGATTATACCGTAATTATTTTTAGCTTTATCTAAAGGACACACTATAAAATTGTCAAACAACTTTCTATTTTGTTTATTATGAATGTCGAAAATCTTTTCACCTTTTAAATTATCTTTATACAACAAAGGCTTAAATCTTTTATGGAAAGCTTCTTTTAGATAGTTCCTAATCATTTCTTTTACATTGTTATTTATTTTATAATGCTTAGAGTATTGTGTCAAAATTTTATTAATAATGTCAGTGACCCACTCATTTATATCGTTTTTATTTATGTAATTATTAACTCTATAGTTTGATCCTTTTTCCATTACTGATCTAAGTAGTGGATCCTTTATAATTTGTAAATTACCAGTTATTATATGTTTATGAGTTGTATCGACATATTCCACATAATCAGGATCAGAACATTTACAATTGCTATGTACAATATCTAGCATTTTATTGATATCGAGTGCTCTTAGTGTAGTATTGTAATTGAAAATCTTTTGTGATATGGGTGCTTTATAGCTGAAGATTATCCTAGTTTTTTTGTAATGGTTATTATCATTAATGACATTTTTAATATAAGGATTATTTATTATCCTATTGAAGTTGATTTTATCTAGTATATTGTGAATGTAATTAGCTTTTACATTTATATATTTATTGTTATCATATGATTTTTTAATTACATTATGGTTAAAATGGTATTTACATAAAATGCTAAGTAATGATATTCTTATGTCATAAACAAAGCACTCTAAAAATTTTGGATCATAAGTAAGTCTGATTATATGTTGTATGAAATTCTTTTTTAGAGAGTTAATGTAAGTATACAAGGATGAAATTGTATTTATACTATTAACTTTTTGTACGAACTCCTGAATGGTTTCTCTGTTTCTATTTTTACGTCGTCTACTGCTTCTGTATCTATTTTTAGTCACGCTTAATGAAAAATATGGATGATTACTTTTATGTTGTAATGGATTATCAATATTGGATATGTTTCCATATCCTTTGATGTTATCATTTAGACCGAAAGGATAGGCTGTGTTTAAAAGTTTGATCCAAAAAAGTTCTTTATCTGTCAGAACTGATTTATCTTCATTTCCTTCAAGATTATCCAAAATTGTGAACATAACTTCTTTATTAGTACATTTATCCTTAAAGTGATTATAAAGATAATTATTGATGTCATTTTTATTAATATGATAAATATGTTCTCTCATTCTACTTTTGAATTTTCGAGTAGTTAATCCTACATATTGCATTCGGCAATTCACACAAGTTATGCAGTAGATGAGGTTTTTACTTGTACATGTAGCATTGTTGGTTATTTGAGTGAAAATCTTAAGTTTAGTAGAGTTAGCAGTTATAAATGGGTCACGATTGATTAAGCCACATTGAGAACAGTTACTTGAACAGTATGTTGCCACATTATCATTACCAAAATTATCTAATATGTATGTGTTGTTCACCTTACTCTTATGAAAGGAACTACACCTGAAATAGGAACCATCGTAATTTATAGTTTTTGCAGACCACTAAAAGAGACTACAAAGGGCAGGCCTACACCGAAATGTAGCCAGGGGGATAATAATTAAGCAGGGCTGCTGCAGGGTTTATGGCGGACCCAGGTGGTGTTTCAAAGAATGAGTTAGCTAAATATATAAAGGATATAAACGGGGCAAATGGAGTCGTAGAAGTACACCCCCTTAGCCTACCCCTACTGGTATTACCCGTCAAATGCCCCCCTATTTTTTGGGAACAAGAGGTATGGCCCTCTTTTCAAGGAATGTTTAGGAATTAGTAAAGGACTATAATTACGATGAAAAACTAACCCCCCATAAAGTACCCTAACTAACTTTAAAGTTAGTGTAATGATTGAAAGAAACAAGTAAAGGAGTAGTAAGGTGAACAACTGTGGCAACAATACCTAAAGGACCATTAAGTGGTCCGTAATGTATGTCCTGTGGCGAATCATGTAGAAGAAAATACCATATACCTTTATATCTTTGCTAATCTTAGTCGTTTATAAGATGATAAACTATCATGATATCCATTAGTCTCATTTGCTCAGCAATTAATCGTCTACTTCTATCATTCTCCCCAACTACCCTTAGATATTTCATTCCATATTGTAAGATTAGAGTATTACGTATGTATCATTTTAGGAAAATGGGACCTGAAGAAGCCATGAAAAGGATCGCTCAGTTTCAAGAAAATGTCAATAAGAAAGCTCTTATTGACTGGGTCAGAGTAACTGGACTTCCCAATCCCCGTAAGCGAAAAATAGATCGCTTACTTGAAGATTTTGCAACTGATATATTGAAGTAAGTTATTTTTGAAAATCATTATGTGAGTAAGTAGATCTATTTTAGATACAACAAGCCCCAACCTTTTAGCTGGCCAGTACCTGCCGGTACTCATGGAGGACTTCTCGCTATCCGGGTAAGATTAACATAAACTATCAATTACTTCTACATAATTTCATATTTAGGCTCGTATTACATACGAGTTTTGGAAATTCTTCATGTCAGAGGGAAGGAAGACACTTTATGAATACAACAGCACCAATGGCACCGATATAAAAATCTCTAGGGAAAAGACCATCACATTGGAGGATCAGGACAGACTAGGGTATGAATCAAAGTAACTTAATTATCTATGTAAAGTTAAATATTATTTAGACTCTATATAAGAAAAATCATCAAGGATGAATATAAAAGAATCAACAAGAAGGGAGTAGAAGTAACCTTGAAGAAAAGCCTTCTTAAAATTGGAGACTATCAGGTATGTTGAATATGTATACATTGAAGTAAATATAATGGATATAATACTTACTTTCTAGCCTGTGAAGCCGGCAATTGCTGCAATCATGTTGGACATTGATATTGAGGCGTGGTCCGGACTTCCACTTGAACAATTGCTAACTGAAAAGGAAAAGGAATCATTGGAGGTAAAAAACAAGCAAATTTATTTAAAATATAACGAATATTCAGAAAGGTGAAATCAAAAGAGGATCGATGCAACTACCTGACATAACATTGAGCAAGCATACGCGAATGGTGGATGAACAAGGAGAAATTGCAAATGGAATAAATGTAGTGAATGAAGAGGAAGAGAAGGAAAATCAAGAAGACGAGGTACATTTTAAAATATAGAAATATTCATCATTAGTTCATGTATAATTAAGGACCGTCCAACTACTTCTAAGAAGAGATCAAGTGACCCCGTTGAAGACGAACCTTCCATTAAAAAGAGAATGTTGCAATAAGATCAATCATCACTACTTGGATGTTTTAGTTGTTTTAGTTGAATCAAATAATATGGCAAAATAAAGTTTTATGAATTAAACTATACGCGTCAATAAATGTTGAAGAGTTGTAAGTGTAAAAATTGAATTTGTAAACAAAGTAAACTGTCTATGCGACAGTGCGGCCCAATTGGCCGGAAACAAAAGAGCAGCCCCAATTGGGCTGAGAGGTAAGCAAGTTACCTCAGAATCAAGAATGAAATCAATAAAGGAGAAACCCAAAAAAGGTACTAGCAACTAGGAGAATCGGGAAACCCTCGAGTTACTCCTAGTAGCTAGCAAATACAAATAGAAACAATAGAACAAGATAAGGATTAAAAATTGTTACAAAATTAAATTAGTGAAAAAACAAAAAAAAAACATAAAAAAAGGAGTTATCCGTTTCGTTCCTACCCTTAGACGGATAAATATGATTAGTAAGCCCTCCCCGGAACTCATCAGTAAGGAGGGAGGGCCTATGTTAGTAGAAAATACAAAAAAACTCACCTAATCCTTATCCTCGACAGCTTGGCAGCGAATTAGACGAATAAGGGGCGAAGATGACGAAATCGCTCGACCCTGCAGAATACACGTAAAATAAATGATACTCAGTCGTGTTGGCGCGTCATAATTTACGATTTTTACGCAATCAAATTCGCGTAGCAGTGTTCGATTGGAGCATATTATCGATCAAAGAGGAGAAAATTATTAGATCAAGAATATTAAGTGCCTGTTTGTGTCTTAAATGAAGAAAAAGAGTCTAAAAAAGAAGTTACAAAATAAAATATGTTTTGGAAAAATGAAAAGTTTTAGATTTGTTTCTAAATAAATAGGGTGGGGAAAAGGGGCTAGAGGAAGAAAGAGTAAATATTTACGGTTCTTCACGTGGTATCACGGTAAAAACTGTAAGGAATCACAGCAGATAAAAAATACCATCTACCATATTCAATATAGTAATATATTCATTATCTGCTATGAAACAAAAAAAAGACTGTCAAACACATAGTAGGTAAAGAATACATGATTATATTCATTACCCACTATGACACGAAAAATATGACAAAATAAGAAAAAACACACTCAGACCCATCGCCTGGACTCAAGGGAAAAGAGAAAGGAAAGGGTAAATATGAAAAAGGGCTACGTAATTCACGTAGGAGATGAGGGCTGGTGCCGGTGGTGGGATTAGCAAAGATCTGCGCAAAATCAATGCTTATACTTTTTTTTGAAGAAAGGTTATGCGACAAATTCGTTCAGAAAAACCCGGGACCTCCATGTCAAGTCTGAAGAGTTAGCTATTCTCTTAACTTGATCCCTCTACCCTAAGTTTCTTCCCTTTGTACTAACATAACAGTTCTTGACTAGATTCTTTTATCGTCATAACATCAATATAAATATGGGGGACCATAATTGGGGAGGGGACCACCGAGCACCCGGGGAGTGCCAGCTCATCTGAAGTTGGTGGCACCGCCCAAGTCGGCGAGGGGACTGTCGGACTCTAATTAGTCTGCGTCTCGACAAGTCTAAGAATAATATTTCATAAATTCTACGGTGGCTGCCTTCTTGCCACGTGTCACGAAAAAATTGACTTGTTTTGGTTGATTTTGACATGTTTTTTTTTTCGAAATCATTTCCGGTGAGATAAAAGAGAATTTGTGATCATTTTGAAGCTGTTCGACTGTTTTGCATAAGAGCAAAACAATCATGAACTTATTTTAGAACATCTTGCTTGCTTTCAGCAATGATCAAAAATGTCTTTCTCTTCAATCCATTTTCACCATGCGAATTTAGCCAGAAAAGGCTATAAATGATAGCTTAAAACACTTTGCTGCTGCTTATTTCGCCTCTTAAATGACGGAATCCTAGCGAATTTCTCTATTCTGAGCAAGCTAGACTGTTCATCGATCATGACTTATAATAAAGCGCGTGTCTGTCTGTGTGTGTGTGTTTATGTCTGTCTGTCACGAAATTCATGGAGAGTTTTGTAGGCAAGGTCTTGAGCTGAAATTTTGGTCATAGCACCCTACCAGCATATAGGTAAAAAGTGCAAAAGCACAATCTGATCCGATATTTGGGACCTTCAATAACTGCGCGTCAAACGGGCCCACGCGGCTTTTGGCACGCAAAAGTAGGTCATTAGTCCGACTTTTTGCGAAGTCATGATTTGCCTGACAAGTACATCTGCGCCTCATGAATTCTAGCCCAAAAAGTGCTCAAAAAGTTTGCTTTTCTGCGACAATAGCGCCAAGAAATGGTGATCGCTTAGACAGCCGATTTGGCAAGGTTTTACCTTCAGACTTGGAAAGATTTTTGCACGGAAATTTAGCTCAAAGTGACTATTATCCTTATGACGACTACCAAGCCAAAACAATTTCAGTAATCTAATCAAATTCGCAAGAGTTCCTTTGCGACAAGTTTTTTTTCTCTCAAAATTACCGATCTTACTGGAGATGCTTCAAGAATGAACAGTTGTTTACTATTCATTTGTGATGTTCAGCATCGCATGGTGGGTTTCAAAGTCATCATTAAGCGAACATGAGAAAGGCAAACGGATAGGAGAGCCAATGCGAACCTCCGCGAAGCGGAGGTGACGCACTGGTAATAGTATATCGTCATTATTATGACGATGTTCATTTTGAAACTGTGTGATCGAAATGAGGTCAAAATTAACTAAAAAACAGATTGAAACTACATCGCTAGGTAGGATAACACAAACTCTTGGTAAAACCTGTTAAACATGTAGATGACATGTCAGTTTTTTTGACACGTAGCAGAAGGTTGACACTCCTTCCTGTGAAGCTGGGACAAAATATGGTACAAGGATAGAAGAAATATCTTCCTTTAAAAAAATGGGTCCGGATAATGGAAAAGTGCCGGCCAAACTTGGCACACATACACTTTTCGGGCGTCGTAGACTATCCTTCGTCATTGATCGATGTCGATTTCATAGGTTTTTGCAAAGCTTGAGCTACAGTGCTGGGAGTTGACACAGGAGGTAAGTGAGCTTGCTGACTAACCGATAAAATCGATATCGATCAATGACGAGGACTTCATATAGACTAGAACTCTAACGAGCTCACACTTTTGAACCGCAATCGCGTATAACTTCTTTTAGGGGACCACTCAGCAGATGTGAAAGGCCGCTTTGGAATCAGGCCATCAAAGGGAATCCAATGATATGCAACTCATTCTAGTTTGCCATTATGACTTGAGATCCTTCTCTTGTTAGCACTGCTTATCCAAATAAATTTTGATATATGCTCACTTTCTGCTTCTTTCACAATCTTGGAGTACCGCTCTCAAGCATCATCCACAACTATGCTTTGTGAAAAGCTAAAGGGTAGACTGTTGGCCACAATTCGTGCTGAACGCGGTTCAGGATGTGGTACCTTGCACTGAAATCAAAGTCAACTTCAGAATTGCAACTGACGAGAAGGCTGCTCCGCACCTACAGATCACTAGAAAGCCATTCACTAGTAAAAAAAAAGGGGGGAAGGGGAGGGAAACAGCATCTACCATTTGTATGCTGTCTTCTCGTTTTAAAGTAAACCATCTCATCACTGGTTTCGCGAGTTCTAATATGCTGGTTGTTTCGAAAGTTCTATCCGTTTTTCGAACCTTTTGAACTGCTGATTTTGAAGCAAAAAATCGTTTTTCATTAACGTTGCTTGCATCGTTCAAAAGCCCCTTTTCCTGTACTTTTTGCGCATGCTTTCTTTTTCAAAGAAATCTGTTCAATAGGTGACTCCGTACCTTGAAAGTACAACAAAACAAATGTAGTAATTTTCATCTTTGCTCTGTTGCCGTGAAATTTACTGACACAAGAGAGATTTTTTTTTAAATTTGTAATTTTTGCTAATGACTTGTGCTAGAAAATGCTTAAGACATGATCAAATAATTTTGAACCAATGTATAGCATAAACATGACATGTCGTGGTCCAGATAAGTTTCAGACAGGATAATATATACTTCAAACTTTTCGGCAAAATAAAAACTATGTGAAATTCAGGCTTGTCGGTACTGTACACAGTAAGATGTATTGAATACGCGACGAGATGTTTGTGTGATTCTACATTCCAAATTATGTTATGGTTTTTTAAAATAGAGGTCTAAGAAGAAGATGTTTCGCGTGTTTTGGCTTAGAAGAACTTTTTCTGTTGCTGCGATTTTTGATTATAGAAATGCCAGAGATTTGTGGACTGTAACGCACTTTATTGCAATCGTAAAAATCAATGAAGGAATTACGGTGAATCAAATTTGAAATTCGAAAAGGGTGAAATCCCATCTTCCCTTTAAAATTGTCCTATTCAGTTTGTGAAAACTTGTTCTACAGTCGTGCTATGTGGAATATCCAAGATTGTGATTTGTGCTCGCAGCAAGGAAAACGATTAGAACCAGCGCAATAGAAATCCTCTTTGTTTGTTTTGATTCATTCAATGGAACAGACATAAAGGAGATCTTCGACAAGAAAAACAGAGAATGCTGATGTTCCAAGTCTTTAATCATAAAGGCTATGTTAAAACAGTTTAATTACATGTGAAACTTACACTTCTAAGATCCTGTGGTTGCAATGATATGATGAAAGATACATAGTGACAATACAATTTATGGTCAGTCGGAATGCTGTACATGCAGCTTCTACCATTGGGTCACCAAAAAAACAACTAGAGAGAAAAACGATATTAGTCTGTTGGCAGAATTACAATAATCCCCTGAGTAACAAACACAGATTTGACGATCACCAACTCGTCGACATCCGGACTCTTCGAGATGCGCTCTTCCAAACGTCCTGAAAACAGATGAATATACTGAATCTCTACAATTTTTGTAGACAAGTTAGATAAGTTTGTCAATGCCGTAGGAGAAGGCCTTTACCATACAAGCGGACTTCTTCTATTCAAAACAGCCGCGTTTCTATTGTCACTCAATATCATATATGAATTATAACGCGCTTTTTCTCAGTGAGTTGACGAGTGATATTTGATAAATTGATACCCTTTTTTCTCTATATAATTTGCACCTTGTAGAAATTTAGTGAACGAAAATATCAGCAAGTTTCATCATTACAAAAAAGGTACGGTCAAGAGGCGCAATTCCATAGAGGTCACCACCAATTTAACAACTCAATTTGGAGATATGCGAGTCTTTTAATGATATCATACAAAGTGCTCAAACCCACTAACTTTCCGAAGCTACCACTTGTGAGTTTGACTGCTCTTGGTGAAAACTTGGCTGCAATATTCACGAAAACGCTAAGTGCTTTTTCACGGGTTTTTGACCTCCAACAGTTATGTTTTGAATCTTTTCCAAGAATATAAAATCGAGCAGCCCATGGGACAATCAAACATATCCTGTTAGAAAATTTGAGTTGCTATTAGAACATCTTAAAACATTGAAAATTCGCTATATCCATTTGGCAATAAAAATCGCGCCTCTTGAACATACACACCCAAACAATAGAGTGATGCCAAAAACTCTTCCGAAAAGCTCTCTCATTTTTCCAAAAATCAATACATATGCAATATGAATGGATCTAGGGATAAAAAAGCACTTGAAGCTACAGTGCTTTCTGGCAAAATTTTGTGTTCAGTTGCAGATAATTTCAACAACATCTCAAAAAAATACTTTCCCTTTCTTGCATTCAAGAAGAACAGGTGAGATGATTGAAATTTGGCATCTAGTCTACTATTCGAAATAAAGCAGAATAGTGGCTTAATAAAAAGGTAAAAATACAGCTGCCCATCCATCTCAGGATCCATTTTTGTACAAAAACAGAAGTTTCCAACAAAGCTTGTTACATATACTAGGCAGGATTGCACCTCCTAAAAAAGCGAAAGCCCTCTATTATGCAAATCTGTCTAGGTTCTCACCTCGTATCGTATGGAATGCAAGTAAGCGCTACTTCCCGATTGTCCTCGAGGTTGAAAGATGTGATTCTAGTGCAAGCCACGCCGGAGCATTCATCGCAGCTCGCATCCCTTTCACAGTCCGAGCCTTCGAGACACATCAGACACACTGAAATTAGGAAGAAATATTGAGCAAATTACTCTACTACTTGTCAGTAGCAGGTTGAATGCACTTCTGTTTACGTGAAGTGCTGAATGATTGAATCTAAATTGAATGCAGAGGTTGACATGGACTTTTTTGACACTCACATTTCAAACAACCCACTCCCTGTTATTAATGTGAACCTGACATTTGAGACAGGCTATTTCGACATTTCGGCGAATAATCTTCAGTTACGTTCATAGGTGAATGCATTACCTTTGCGACAAAAAGGCACCCGAGCACCTATAATCATTACTTCGCGGCACGGAGACGCGCGCGCTATGCTTGCGGCGCATGGATTATACAGCATCCGCTTTTGTCAAGTGCCTGACTATAACTTTTTAGTTGGTGTATGTTTTTCTGCACAAACAAGCTTACCTAACGTTGCTTCAAATTAATTTTCAGGTAAGTCTAAATACTAAAATCGCTTGAGGCACGACTTTGCCTCAAAACTCTTATCTGAATGTTTAACATATGGTTCTTGGATATTGAACAATTCGGTGACAAAAGTAAAAAAAAACCAATCTGCTGTCTTGGCCCTGCGCAAGTAGTCAAAGATATTGAAAGCTGAGCCAGAACAATGCCTGTAACTTCGTTTGATAAACCGTTCACCAGACGTGCAAATTAATTTTTTCTCAGGTAACCCGCTAAGTTAGTTTTGGTCCCTAGCTAAGAACTTTCTGTCTTCCACCATTCGTTTACTTGCCCTCACCTAAGGCAAGGACCGGCAGGGGGTGGCATTTGAGAATTTCGAAACTGAAGTTCCTTTTGACATTGCAGGAGATTGCGAAATACCCTTTAGCATAAGATTACGGAAAATAATCTAAAGCGGACGATCAGTTAATGGAAGATAAGAATGGGCAAGAAAACTCGGAGATAAAACAGCTATACGTAAAAATAGCCGGTTTTTATATCATTCATGGGCCGTAGCAAAGCAGAAAAAACGAAATCTGGGTTAGGGTAAGTATACATAGGTAAAGTTCGAGCAGAAGAATAGAATTATGTAAAAAATTCTGGAAAATTTTGTCAAGAAAGGAGAACAGTATGACTTTGTTTGGTTCCGCGCAACCTCGGGGTGCCAGCAGGTTGCGCGTGAGCAACCTAAACTAGAAAAACGCCTGCAGCTCTTTTCATTCACATAATTTTTTCATGATTTTTCATACTTTCCTTTTGATCGTTGTCACGGAGGTACACACCAAATTTGGTGGCTCAATATTGCTTAGCGGTAATAAACGGATTGATTATTTATTTTTTTGTGCATAAAGCTGCGTTTTAACACGTTGAAAACGTGTGCAAATAGGTCTAAGTGGTTATCATGTTTATAACGTGTTAATTTACCTGTTACTGTTGAAACGACGTCATAGTTGAATTAAGGGCCTGCTAAAGGTTTGTGCTTGCTAACATTGCATCAGATTTTCGGGAGCCTTACGAATTCCCTTTTGTTTTCTCTGCGAAAAACGACATCCAGCCTGTGAAAGCGCCATCTCTTCTGAGCCCTGACCTAAGAGCATCGCATCAACATTGTAGAGGATAAACAGCGGAATGGGCAAAGGATTAAAGTGTGCGACCCAAGAAATCTGCGAAGTGATCATGTACACACAGAAGAAATCACCAAGGGAAAAGAAGTGGGAGTAAAGTAAGAAAAAGCGAAATCTGGCTAGTTGCAGAACTGTCAAAAACTTGCTGGAGCTGTGTATCGGTTACTTGCAGTATGGATATGAATGGATGGACACCACAATCCCCTGTTAAGTACCAAGCTGTATTGCCCTTAAATCTTACAAATAAGGCCGCTTGCTTGGACCAGATAGTCCGCCTACAAATAACTTCTTTTTTCCATAACTGCCCTAAAATCTTTTCAAGTGAGTCCCAAACCTGTCAGATATGTCAGAAATAAACTGCAGACGGTCTTATTCAAGGCGCCATCTGTGAGATTTTAAGATAATTTTTCTTCCCAAAAAAAGACAAACATTAACAGAAGTTTCTCCCGACACCCACCACACTATGGCACTTACCCCCTATTCGTTATAACTTGATTACTTTTTCCTAGTCATGCCACGGTACAACACTAGAATGCAGTCCAAATTATCCGACAAAAAAGACTTGTCATCATGGCTTCACGATAACAAAAGACTGTCAACTTCGTGTTTCATATTAGTAAGCAACCACCCCCGATAGCTTGTGTCCCGAGGACACTTGCCGTTGATGGTTTCATCTGTCGACGAGCCGATGGACACATCTCCCCGGGGAGAGAGGTAGCTGCTGACTAATTGGCAGCATTGCAACATCATGTCTTTTTATTGTTCGCTAAGACCTTGGAAGCTGGACGATTTGATTGCTACGGCGCTGGCATAAACGGTCATCTCAAGGCATTTTCCCTGCAGAGGTTGGGTGTAGTGCATTACAAGAGGCTCATGCAGGTAACGTTTCCCATTCAAAAGCCGAAATGGGCTCTTGCCCTTTTTATGACAAAAACTGAAGCTCTAGCAGGCGCAGCAATTCTAAACGACTCAATCCTTGCACAAATATGTAATATGCGATGCCAAATTTTATCTGGTTCTTAGCTATAGTAAATTTTGATTTTGATTCTGCATAGCAAGACATGTATTAGTAAAAACTTCGCAGCCTTGTGGATGTAATGTGACATTTTGAGCGACAAACTTTTACTTCCCGTTTAACAAACTGAGACTCCCTCAAGTTAATCTTGTGATGCTGCAGCACTTGAATCTAGCTCAAATGGCAATTATACCAAGTACACTCACAAGTGCTTGCGAACTCAAGAGCTTGTTTTTAGAAGTTCAAATTTCGGCATGTTTCCCTCGTCACCCAGTCGATTTGTGAACGAAATCCAATGCAATGTCTTTTTCTGCGTCTAAAATCTGTACTCACGGTATGGCCGTTTGATGAAGATAAAAAATTTGCTTAAAGGATGTCAGCTCAGTAGAAAATTAGAAAGCTACAAGAAGGCAGTACGGTATTACTCAGACACTCGGTGCGTGCAGCGCGCGCGCCTTTATGCTCAAGCCGGCAAAGCGCGTGCCATATTTTGGGGGCGTGTTCGGCAGGACGCCAAACGCGCGCCATACTTGACGCGAATGCAGAATTATCTGCGACACGCGTGCCTTTTTATACGAAAATACGCGGCGCGCGTGCTTTTCCGTTGTTATGCAGCAGCGCGAGCGCGATTTAGCTTTTAGCGCAGCGGTGCGCGTGCCCAAAAGGACGCCGAGTTGCTTTTTTGAAAATAACCTCGTCCCCTGCCCCTGTTTTTTGAAGTTTTACTGTTATTTTTTACGAGTATTTGTCTTTCTTTGTATCTTAGACTTTCATTTTGATTTTCTTTCTTGATTCGATGTATTTTTTGTGACCTTACTTTAGTTGATTGTCGTTATTATTAACTTTTCTTCCTTACTGACGAGTTCCGGGAAAGGCTTATTCTTTTTTGCATTCGTTTTTTTCGAATTTAAGAATATTCGCTGAGGCTGAACGGAAGAAGCGGCAGAGACGCCAAACTCAAAACCTCCCCATGAGATTGAAACCACCTTGATCGGTATGCGGTTTTTCGGATAAGGAAGTCTTCTACTTTTTTCGTTCAGATTTTGCTGACGATATGATGGGATACGGGTACGACGAACTGCTACCAGGCGCGGTTGCGGATTTTGAAAACTCGGAGTAACTAGCGTATCATTTCGTCCATGTTGTCTTTCCATCAAGTTTTATTCATTGCAGATTTTACGCTAGTCTTGGCACAGACGAAGCCGAAAAAAAGCAAAATTTTGATCAGGCTTCGCGTGAGAAAATGCGGTGGCGTCCACAGCTCTTCAAGGCCCTGCAATTCGCATTGTGCGTAGTCAATTCTTACAGGTTATAACGCAGCCTTAGTTGCTGATATATCAGTTTCAGACGAGCTATTAGGTCCTATACGTACAAGGAAAGCGAGTCGAAATGGATATCGCATAAGGTAAAATTGTTTGCTGTTTGATTAGTATTTCATAGATTCATTGCAGCGTCAGTCGAAGAAAGTCGCGGACGAAATTATCGACGATGGGGCAGTAATAGGAGACGACGACGACCTATCCACTGCTGATGAGTGAAGTTCCGTGATAGCAATATTTTTGACTTATATATGTTTATTGCATGTACATGATGCCATTCCGTTACATATGTATTTGATTGTACACATTTGATCCACATTCTCATCATAAAGTGTTTTAAAGCTTTAATTGCTTAATTAATAAAGGTTTGTTGAAGTTGCCCAGTCATTTTTCTGCAGAAATAAAGTTTTAAAAGGTTTAGTCCGCTGGAAGTTTAGCCGTTCAAATTTGGCGCGCGGGTCAATGATTAAAACGAAGCTGCGAAATTGCTGACCATTCGCGTGCCAAAATAGCAGCCATCCGCGTGCAAGAAATCGCAGCCGCTCGCGCGCTTAAAATCGCAGCCATCCGCGGACGATCATGCCGGCGCGGGAGTCAATAGCGCGCCATCCGCAGACTGGGTGTCGCGCCACCCTGCAATTGCGCGCGCGCTGCACGCACTGAGTGTCTGAGTATCCTCTAGTATGGAAACTTTTCAGACAGGAGAATGATGTGGAAAAAAGCTTGGGAAGTTATGGCATTACTGCAGGATACATTCTCTTCAAGAAACTCCATTACTCTCCTATTTCTGCATACTGTTACGTTAGCAAATATGTTGTATGAATAAAAATTTCATGTACGTTTCTGAAGATCAACTCAAAAACTCCACATTTTCTCCTTAGTCCTTTGCTTTGACCAAACAAACTACAGAGATCCTGAGGCATTTGGTACGCATGTCAAAATGATTATCAAAAATTCGAGGTACAGCGCAAAAGTAAGCGTCTGATTTAAGCAATCAATTTTTTGCACATATCCATCGTACTGAAAGAATGTTTGCACAAAGTTCAATAATTTTGTCATATTCGTGGGCCAAGTTTCATATATTTTGAACAAAATTACTCAGAATTTCGCTTATGCATAATTTTATCTGGATAAATCCACTGAGATTGAACTGAATAGAAGAAGACCATAATGCGCACTAGAATGGCGAAAAAACATAGAACCAGTAAATTCAGTGGCATAAAAATCGAGTGTTTTATGTCATAGTCCCTGCTATTCGAGATTGTTGTTAGCTATGACCATCCAGTCCATAAACCCCATTTGCTTTGAATGCGATGGTGGCCATCTAAGCTCGACTATTGGTTCTAATATTCCCTTTATTGGCTTTTCAAAACAATTGTAGATGGGAAACTATCGCTATTTACCTGTAATTTTCGAGAAATTACGATGTTCGCCGTCTACAGTACCGCTATGGCGTCGAAATTATGATAACGTGACCCTCACATAATAAGCAGTGCCCCATGTTCTACTCGCGAACATATGGAGAATCCGATAATGTTAATAGATTTTTATGTGCAGGTTCCTTTATTTATTGAAGTTGCAGTACTGAAAATTTGATGAAGTAAAAAAGAAATAATTCATAACATTTTTACACTTCTTTAATATACGTATTCATGTACATCAGAACTATTCCATTCGCCCCTTTTACTCCCCCTCTCACCACACCTAAGCCTACGCCAAATATTTACGTGAATATGCATTGAGCCTAGCGTTATATGATACGCTTGCCACTAGGTTTGCGAGCCAAAATCGGCTGGCTTTAGCCGAGGTTTCGTTGTATGGCGGTGTTAATTCGGTTACGTACACCGACGAGATCACATTTCAATCCATGAATCGCGACTAAAGCCGGAGAGCTCGTTTTGCTTGCTGACAGGTTACGGTAGATGAACAGAGTTCTTAGGCGATTAGCCATGGAAGAAGAAGAGGGTTATAAGATCACGGTTGCATTTCTAAGGCTGAAGTAAATTTCAGGCTCACCTCAGTACGAGGTGAATTCAAAAATTGAGAATCCAAAAACTGGAATGCATAAGGCAACTAACAGGATGGCCTCACAGCCCGGCACAAGCTAACATCTCTTTATTTTGGTAGTGGATTACTTTTCAGAGTTTAGATATAGTTTGATTTTCTATCACTTCCCATAAAAAGTGCTTCATCGCTAATTATAAACAGTCGTATGACTCCTTTCGGAAAAAGGGCTCATGAAGGTTCATACTTGCGCTTCCACAGTTATTGTATAAGGCACCTCCCTCCCAAATACGAGTCGCTAAATCTTTGAAAGTTACATGAGTTATACAGCTGTGCAAGCGACTTATTTAAACTTGCGAATAATCAATAGAATTTCTAAAAATTCTTAAAAATTCAATTTAGCCTTATAAAAAATTTTCGGGGGCATGGCTGCCGCCACGCCCTTTTTCTGAAATTCAAGGTAATGGGCCCTCAATATCAGAAAGCATCAAAAAATTTTTGGAGTGCGTAGTTGAAGCCACACATTTTCATCAGAAAAATTTTTTTGTCGCCCCCCATCCCCCCCCCCCCCCGATCGGAAATCCTGGATACGCCATTGCTCTATATGGATACAGAACTCACAAGTCTTATCCTGAAAAGGCTGTAGCAAATTTTTTTTCATTCGACATGGTTTTACGAGCAATTTTTTCATGGTTCACTCCGGTACGATGGCCCCTTGGTATTTTGCCTGATATAGAAGCCTGTCTCAAAGCAACTGTGCTAAGCCTTAAGGGTCATTATTCTGAACAACGTATCCTATCTCAATTATTTGCCTGCCCCTCACTGCAAGCACTAGCGCTTCTCAAATTCGCATTCCCACTTTTCTACAGCACGAAGCTCATGTGGGTAACAGGTGCAATGCGTGTGTAGGTTGAAACCCAGGTGCAAATGGACTATCTCGGTATAATAGCTTTTTACTGAGTAGTTGTAATCTGCAGTCATCGACTCCTGCATTTTTGTAGCATAGAAAATTTCTCGGGAAATAATGAGTTATGAGGATGTTGCAATCAAGGATTGATAATTTGATTTACTTTTCGCTTTGTTACTATTTTCTGAGACGTTTGATCTACGTCGGAATTCCAAAGATCAAGGGAGTCACCCAGATGATTGAACTATGGCTTTTTTATAATCTACTTCATTCAAACAGGGGTGAATGAATTTGAAGTGCTAATTTCATCGCTGACGTGTTTGCAGGTGTAAGTTCTGGCACAATCCTAAACTTAGACAACTTGAGGTTTTCTATTACTTGCTACCTATTCTGAGAGCCTTGAATATGAGGAGCATAGTCATTCAAAATGCTGTCGTAGCTTATGTGTTCGTGACAGCACAATATTAGAGTTGACCACATCGACCAAAATATGATCGCTGGAATGCCAAGCGTTGAGTCATTTGCGGAAACTTGATCTTAGGCGAAACATCGAGCAAGAAAAGAAAACAGTAATTTGACATTTAGCAAAAACATTGTCTGAATGGGCTATAGGGTGCTTCGCAGACCACAAATTACACTTTCAAAAAAGTTGTGTTAAATTTCGTACAAAAAATTTACAAAAAAAATATTTTTTTTCGAAGACCTAGCTGCGTACTTTCCATCCCATCATGGTTTAAGGTTCAATGTTAAGGAAAACCGGTCCATAACTGTTATTCTCTGTAGCTTAGAGGTAGCATATTTGCCCCATTATCTTCCTCCTCCCGGAATATTGCCCGTAAACGACCCTTTGGAGACTTGCCTATGTTCCATTTTCATACACCCACACTTGGCATCGAACATCGTCAGAGCTGCAGTTTTGCTAGAGTCGTAGGTGGTGGTACTGGAAGCCAAGAGTCTTGTCGTAATTGCCCGAAAGAGCTAACGACAAAGCTAGCGGAAATAATCGAATTTCTTCTTTGTTGATATGACTCGCCAACCGGACGGACACTGCTGACGACACCGCCAGTAATTGCGAGTTGTTACTCGTCGAAAGCCTTTCAATAAGCGGGCTCCTAACTGAAGTGACTATGGTTGAGAGATGAAAACTATTTTGGCAGAAACGTTGATGCAGATGAAATTTGTTTTTTTTCTATAATGCTGAAAGAGCCTGGTAAGCAAAAGGAAGCTCTTGGCTCAAATCAGAAAGCAAAACATATTCGCTTGCGACAGATAGCAGAATTACCAGTCCTCCTGTTCTTTGAATATGAGGTTCTTTTGTATCGAGCCGAACATTGTCTTATTTACTCAGGATATTTCCGACTGCTTGGAAAATTGTAAGCGCCTCAAAAATTATTTTAAACTTTTTCATTCGAAAAACTTTTTCATTTCGATGCGAAAAGACTTATTGACTGATTTTGCAAAATTTTTAAACTAAAGTAATCCCCTCATAAGCGTTCGTGCTACAGAAAGTGAAACATAGGAACATCATGACATTAATTAGAGAGCGCTGAAATCTCATTCTCTGCTCCTAAAAAGGAAGTTTCAATTTCACTGCTTGGAGCGCACATAACTCTCAGACAGCAATGGAAATGGCGGTGCGTTAATGCGTCAATACTTTAATTTTGAACCAATATTGCGAAATAAATCAGGCAATGGAAGAAGTAGCTCTGTAATGCGTAGTAGGTACTTATAAGGTATTTGTGCGAAAATACCAATAAACTTGCTCCAAGGATTTGGAAATTTGACAGCGAAAAATGGTCACAAAATGAAAAAGTCAACTTGAGTAACTGAGAAGCGGCAGTGAAGGTGCACTGATGTATATTATTGCCTCAATATCATTCAATGTTTGAAACCACAGATTTTGATTCGGCGTTCTTTACGACATAATTTGATTTTCTCCAATCGGACTAGTTGATGAATCTTGCTATTGCACAATTTGCGATCAGAATTCTCACTGAATTCCGAAACCACAATCATCCTATAGAACCATCTATCCAGACCATGATATTAGCCATTCTAATAACCACATAATAGCTTTGATGACCACATAAACTGAACTACCCAAACCACAAAAGGTACTTGGCTGTTCAGAAAAAAACTGCACCTCCAAACCTTTCATCTTTCTAAATAGCTCTACTAGCTGTGCTATAGTATCCGATCCTGCCATTCGACCGTTAAAAGCTCTAATGGAAATAAAAGTGCATGCAAATACATACATTGAGCGGATTAGAATTTCCCTGCTCTTGAGTCCTGCTAGGCCGGAATTTCG